TATCGAACCATCACCTTGCTTTCTGGTGGCCTACTCCACTGATCTCTCGTTCGCAAACCCATTCTAACCCAATTTCGCTATTATTGGTACTTGTCCGTTTGGTAGCACAGATTTCCAAGCCTATCCTTTTCGGTGGACAAAGACTTCTAATAAAGAGTGTTAGTAATCATTCGAAAGCATAAATCTCTGGCTAGCGCGGTACATGCTCATTTTTTGAAAATGTCTATACATAACGCTTTATCGAAAGAAGACATTGGTGTTTCACGCGCGCATATTTCTCTTAGTACAGAGCTCTTTCCATGGCTATTAGTAATCATTCAATAGCATAGAATCTGGCAAATCTGATGTTGTGTTTATGTTCTTGAAAGACCGTTTGTCTGCGCTGTAACAGGGGAAATGCGACTGGTTCACATATTCGAGTATGTGCTGCGGAGTTTCAGCGGAGGGAATCGGCACGATTATGAATCGATGGCGCCTATGTAAAGTGCGACTTTTGTTATTTGGTTAAGATTTGCTTTTCCACTCTGTAGCAGACTCCATACTAAACGTCTGACTTCAATGATAGAAGATTATCTTTACATGTTCATGTGCGTTTCGTGCTTCCAGCGAAGAGAAAGATGAATTGCGCGGGCGGTGTGAGACATAATTTTATTTAGAGTTTCTAAAGCGTTATAAAAGATTTCTCTCAAAAAACCGAGCGCGTACCGCGTTAGTCAAAGTTTTAGGGTTTCGAATGATTGCTAACACTCTTTATGAAAAGTTCTTGTTCAGCGAGAGGGATCTGTTTCCAAATCGGTGCTATCAAACGGAAATGAACCCGATTATTAATGATAATTTCGTAGGTTCTTTAGGTTGTTTTCTTTTCAAAGATATAATCCGTTTCGTTTTTTCATAACTGTTTTGATTATTCGATGCTTTTTTTGTTTAAAATACGCTAGAAATCTATTTGGTCACCTTATTTATATACCTTATCCTTTCTGGAGTGATAACGCGTGGATTGTAGCTTGCTAAGAAAAGCGCTTCTCCCGCAAGATTGAGGTAGTCTTCTACCAATTTTGTTGAACTTTCTACCATCTGATTTGTAATATTGTATACCATTTCATTTCCTTCTTAATCTTGTCATTTTGAGACCCAATTATTTTTCTCATAACGAAAAGATTATGACACAATCGTGATAAGCTAAGTCACTTATGAATCGTATCTCGCTATAAATAATTTCACATTCAAAGTTTAGACAACTTTATGCCAGCTTACTTGAGCATTATTAGTTGATAGAGGCGAATGGAACTCGCGAATCCATGCCAAGATGCGGAATTTTGAAATCATGATTTTTTTCAGAGTTCTCCGCAGACCGACTGTCTAATAGCCTCGACAATAGAAGAGTAACTCAGTGTCTTTTTTATAGGCAAGATCAAGTTGTTATCAATAGGTTCTATTGAATACAACTCAACACAGAATACGACTAATTATAGTGAAACAGTGACTGAAATTCAGAAGAACTGCTTTCTTCAGAGCCTGCAGGTCAAGTTGGTTCGTAGCACACGGTCAGCCTAGCTTTTGCTTGTCAAAAAGAAACACTGAGGTTTTGGAGCCAACTAGTGATTTTTTGTTACCTTTCGAAGTCTGTACACTTGATACCTGATAGTGAATTCTTTCCTGTTATCTGGGAACAAGTGAAGAAACGACCCCTTTCGCTGGATAAGAACTTTTCAAGAGTGTCAGTAATCATTCGCATGTTTGAATCCCGGGGATTGCCTTCCTCTTTTTTTTCTAATGCCTTATTACAGCGTTGTAGCACTGAAAAGACTTGTGTTTCACACCCGTTGCACGTTTTTTCGCGTTTTCGGCGTTATCAGTCTTATTTTTTGCAAGACAGAAGTCTTTCCTTGGATTGCTAGTAATCGTCCGATAGCTTCAAAATAAATCAAAAATGTATTTGGTTTCTGGGAAGGCTTTTTTACAGCCTTATAGCAAAAAAGTGTTTCGGGTGCCGCACACGTGTTACTCGCAGGGCAGAGCTCTTACCTCGAACTGTACGTAATCACTCGGTAGCGTAAGTTTCAACGATTCCAGTGCTATGCTTATTTCTGACGAAACCCTTCATTCCATTGTAGCAGGGAAATTAAGATTGTGTTTAACATAGGACCCGCATTTCCTGTCGACTGGGTGTGTGGTGGCTATAGATCGATTGTGCACGATCGATGAACCATGAAGGCGCAGTTCAGATGAGACGTGCAATATTTTTTCGAGTTTGGGGTTTTTTCGTTTTGGAAAGTTTCGAACAAACTCATGAATCTAATACTTCAAGATATCCTCTACATGCTATACTTTTTTTGCTTCCAGTGAATTATTTGCGTAATAAGAATGAAGGCGCGCAGAGGGCGTGAAACATAAATTTACTTGAATACTATAGCGCCATAAAAATAGCGAACACGTATAGCAGTCCACCGAGGTCTAAGCTTTTGAGTGATCATTTGCAGTCTTACAAAATAGCTTTTCCAGTGAAAGAAGTCGTTTCTTCATTTATTCCCACTTGCAGAAAACAACCAGTAAGAGTTTCTCGTCTTTATTCTGTGGCGTCACGTTCTACCTCACGCCCGTTAAGGACAAAAGAGTTGTGAAGTCGACAATGTGGGCATAGAGTCTGATGTCTCATATTGCCTTCACAATATCCTCTGTGCTCCTAAAAGCTTCCGAGCAACTCGTTTCATCCTTTTCAGCTCTGAAACTGATTTATCGATTGTGTTGATTTCACGACTCGGATAAATGTATATGGCTGTAGAATTTTGAGAATTCGTTCCTTCGAAAATTAATAGGACATAGGAAACATGATCGTGTTTTAAATGAACCTCTTATTACTGGCACTCAGTCAAAGACTAGTCTCTACAGGTGTCATAGAAACCAGCCCTTTTTTGGTTGAATTCTAATCTAATAAAAGGATATCATAAAACGACTATGATTTAGTTGATGACTACTTGTTTTGCTTCATTGTTCCATTCTTAATCATATGAGAGCATCATAAAACGGGCTGTTGAAGTCGTGAAATGCTTCAAAAATATCAGTTATCATTGAGGTGTAGGTATGAGCCTGTGTGGCGCAGTCGCTAGAAACGCCCTGCGTCTCACGCGTGGTCGATGGTTGGACCCCGTGCACAAGGCTCACTAAGCCTTCCATTACCCGCGTGGTTGGTGAAGCTCTGCTAAATCTGAATGGAGGATGGCACCACTGACTTGATACACTGGTTGGTCCACCGCGAGTTATTGTAGAGGCGAGATGTGCATTTCGAATGCGTGGGAGTTTCCTCAGCAATTGATCAATCTGGATGTGGTTTACTAATACCTGGAGTCTGGTAGTCCTTTTTCTGCTGATTATCATTTTCCCGAAAAGCAGAGAGAATAGGCTACGTGATTGATAGTTGTGGTCTTCGCGTCAGATATAATAGTCCCTGAAAACTTTTTTATTCAAAACGTTTTTGTTCCGATAAGGAAGCTCAAGGGTACAGATTTTTCATAAAGAAGAGTGCAATTGACTATAGAATTGTTTTAGGGTAGGTTGTAATATAGTCAATGGATCATAGTAAGAGTTTCTCTGAATCAGAGGATACTTCGACTTGATACCAAGATTTCAAGATTTATAAGGGACTAACATTTGAAAATCTTCGTCTTTTTTGGAGTCAATGTTTTGAGAGCCGAATGCTGTCCACCACAGTCGTTCGTCCTCGGATGTGGAAATCATTGTCCTTGTTATCGTTCGATCCAAATTTTTTTTTCTCCAGTAAAGCACCGCTCGAATGAACATTCTCCTAAAATGGTGAGTGGTATGCAAGAGCGGACGTCAGCGGGAGTTGAACCTACGTTTCACCCATACCGGGGAGCGCTCTAAAAGCTGTCAGCTTGACTGAGTCCAATGTGGATATGTGTTTCCCGACAAAACCCTGTTAAAGGTTGGTTGCGTATAGCTACGTTACGGATATATAAAAGAAACTGATGGCAAAACGATGGCTTCGGTGATGTGGGTAGCACGCGTCCTTGAAAATGCGGGTTCAACTCCCGAGTGATGTCAGATGTTTCGCATATCACTCATACTCTAAGTTGCAAACTCATAACATACTACTACTAGAAAGCAGTCAATATAAAGGATTTCTTTTGAGGATCCTCTTACTCTACGATGTCCTTTTACACGCAGTGGAGTTCGTGTGCTAATTACCCGTTAATATGGATATGTTTTTTCTCCAGGCGACATCCTACAGTAGTCAGTACCATTTATCAGTTAGCACAAAGCGTAGTAATTTGAAAACTGACATCTCTCAAGCCTGCATTGCTCATCAAAAAGTTACATTCGTGATCAAACTAATGCCATGACGGTAATAAAAAGAAGCGTCATTTGGCTTATATTCTACGTTTTCGTCCTCTTCAACAACTGTTTTCTTAATTCTAGTAGGGTGATATGCGGGTTCGAGTCCCACCTGGCGCAAAAGTTCTTCATATCACTAAACGTCTTTAGGTATATTTGTAAATCACACCACCGTTGTCAAGCGGTTAAATAATAGAATTCTGTAACAATCAATGCAGTCAACTATTTAGAGACCTCACTCACGAACATTATGATCTGACAATGTATTTTGAGCCTTTCATAGGGTCTGTTATGGGTACTTATACAGTGCAAAGCACATGTTTCGGCCTTTCAGCCTCGTCAGAGCACATTGTCTTTTCGTTCACTCAGTTCCTTGCAAATTTATCCCTTATATAGAGGAGTCGGTGACGAACTTTTTACATTCGACGTGTGGTGTAACAATCTCCGTGATCTTGATTGTCCATTGCATGTTTATGGCTGTTACGTGGACATATGTAACAAAAAAAATTGTTGTCTTAACGTATATATCCGGCATCTGTCAGCCCAAGTTAGTTCAATGTCTTTACCTAATGTCCAGGTTAAAACCGTCGACAGTTGATTGCTGACGGATAGATGTGTTTCTGGATACAAAGAGTGGTGGCAAAACAGCAGTCAGTGGTGCAGCAGGTTAGAGCACGTCCCACCGGATTAGGTGAGATGTGTGTTCGAATCCCGCCTGACGCAAAATTTTTGCACATCACTCAACATCATTGGATATTTTTAATCCGTTAAAAATTTCAGGTGGTTGTGTAATTTTGTAAGTCGGACTTCTTCTTTGTTATCTAACTATGGGGAAATAGCTGGGGATTGGATAGTGATGCAGGCCGTCAGGAAGCGGGGTGCTGATTCTACCTCTTTTCTAACCTTCACAATCAATCAGCAAGCGCATTACGGAATATCTCATCTCAGCTATCTCGAAGAATATAAGGAGATTAGTCACGTCGCATTCTACGACGTTCATGGGGAAGCCGAAATCTTCAATCAGCACAGGAAACGACCCGCGAAATGCTTAAGAACCGTCGTACAGGATGCATGAGAGGTTAGAAATGGAATGCTAGAAGCACTGAAGTCCGTAGAACCAAACGTGATAAGGGGTCGTAAAATCCTCTATTGATGTCAGTTCGTTTAAATGTTTGTTTATGACGTATTACACGATATCAGGGTGTTTACGTCATGGCGAGGATTCGCTCATTAATTATTTGAATATGCTCAAAGCTGTGGTTTCTTGTGGAGACCAGACGTCTCATAAATAAGTTAGTCCTATTATTACCATACTCCTGCTTAGTTCTGTTTCGTATTCACACTTTTATAGTTCGGTCATATTCTCTAATACTTCCGCCATTCGTATTTAGGGAACAAATCGAGTAGTGAGCCACTTTTGTCGCTCATATTGGAGCCGGATTTCTTGTATGGTTCATCTAACTGCCAAGTCTTGGCGTTGTTACATCATTTATATCACAGCTAGGGCGATTCAAAATTATTCTTGGTCAGTAGTTGGCTTGGTTTGAATGGTTTATCGCTAATTTTCTTTCTTGGCTGTAATCCATTTTGTTACTCTGAATGGTTGACTACTTTTCTTCTGAAAGTTTTCTAGAGAATTTTCCGTTGCTGTTGTAGTGATGAGTGGTTGTGTGTGTGTTTATGAATGCCACTGGATTACCAGAAAACTCCCTCAGAAATTACAATCTTTGCTAACTATGTTGCTATTGCCTGTTTGGTGCATCTTTTCTGCCCAACCAGTTCATATCGAAAGTATTTCCACGATAAGCTGCGGTAAATAAGGTGTTAACTTCTGATTTAGGAGTTGTTTCTTTTGATTTAATATATTCTACGACGTCCCATGAGGAAGATTACTCGATACGAGTTGAATGCAAGAAGCACTGGGACCCGCACAGAGAAAAAGAACTATGATACGGGTCAAATTAATTGAAAAGTATAGTAAAATTATTTCTTTTGAAGGACTGGGGCGGAAAAGGTCAATGTTGCAGGCAAAGGAAGCAATCTCATCAAAGCCTACCCACATTTCCGTTAAATAAATTAACAAACGTCTTGAGGAGTACTTCAGTTTGGTTCTTCCGAGATTGAAAGGAGATCTCGCGACCAGCATTATACGTCATTCACGAAGAAGACAAAATCCTCAAGCAGCAGTCGAAACATCACGTGAAACATCGGAAGACTTGTGGAGGATGGGTGCGAAGTAACCAGTCAAATACAAGAAGTTCGGGGATTCGCGTAAATTATGAAGGATTGTATAGAAAAAATCGGCTCCGCATATTTGACTACCATTCTGAACATAATTGTTTTATTTCGGAACTTCTGTTTTGTTATACAAGTTAGAAAGTGCTTTTTTTCGATAATGGTCATAAATTATATGAAAATAAGAGCGTGCCATGTGGAGCTTTGAATCGCCTAGATCTCATCAATTAAAGTTTCAGCCAACATCGGCACATGCAAAGAGCCGAATCACATGATATGCATGATCTGGAAACACTCCAATTCCAATCTGATAATTCCTATCCACATTTTCTTGAAGTTGATAGAAGCAGTGCGTTGACTTCAATCTAGTAACTTCACATCTAATTAGTCAAGCGGAAAGTCTACGTTTGATCATATCGACGACTTTAGACGGCACTTAGTTGGAGTCCGGTAAAATGTTACGGAGGAGTAGTATCAGTATAGGACTAGTTTTTCTTTGATTTTTCTTTGAAGCAAGATTTTAGTCATAAAACGACCTTCGCTCAATTTGAATTAAACAAGTCTTAGTCTGTATGAAATTTTTTCATTAACGAATTTACAAACTTAAGTGTCCTCACCTGATAAAACTTGTAGTTTGTTGAGGGTGCTGTTGATAAGAGTTTGTGCAGATGTTCGTTAAATTTGAAACTTTTTCTTGGTGGATATTTATTACAACAAATAACTAATCATTTTTTCACCTGAAAAAATTTTGATGTTTGTTCTTCCACTTAGGAAAAATATACTATTTTTTGAGGACTTTCCTTGCCTATTTTATCGGTTCTCCTTGTGAGTACAGACGAATGTGATTGTGATTAGGTGTTCTTTCAATTATACAAATTTGTGCCAGTGATTTTACATAAACCATGTGTCATGATAGTGGTGTAGACCATAACCTTCTAAATATTATATGCATATCATTTACCTCAGAGATTATTGTACGAGTATGAAACATTTGGTAATCACATATAGTCCTGTTGGTCGTCGAGTGGCTCAGGAAGACACCAGTAAACCTTTCATTTTTTTCCCTGTTGCATGTAAGAGTAGCCCAGTCGGTTTTGTTAGCTTTACGGATTTGTTGAGTAATACATCATTCCTCCAGGGTTTTCGTTAAGAAGTCGAACCATTGGTTCGGTGGTCTTTTTGTTGTGCTTTCAATATCCTTAGGAACCCAGTCGGTAACGACTTTTGTGAATCAGTTATCATTAAAACGATTTCATTGTGAAGTAGTTGAGTTCTAATAAATTGGTGTGTGATACAACGTTTTTAATCTTTAGTCGTTGACGCAGTTTGAGATTTTGGATTCCCCATTTCTTTTGTGGGATACGGCATACTTTTACTTACAAATTTTGACTGCTCGTTCAGTGGGATTAAGCAAGCCTGCTTGCATAGCGAATAAGTTCCTGTTGCATGCATCAAAACAAGAGAAGTAGTTGAGTCAAAAAGGTGGGCACGGAGTCTAGCATAGGTGTCGGAGTCATGCCGGTCTTTTATTGAGAAGGACTGTGCATTCTGACATATAACATGCGAAGAGCTGGGTCATAGTGATGCTGAGAATTAACGGAAGGTTAGTATATCATACCTTTCGTTTCGAGCGTTTTCTTAGGACCGCGCTCAAACTTCAACATACCTCGTTATTATTGTTTGAGCCGATATGTCATGTGGTCTGTTAAATGGTCTGACTTATAGAGTCCGATACACGTATTTCGACCTTGACGGTCTCATCAGTTGGGCGGTACCCTTCGTCTTTTTCCCTATACTAAGATTAGGCGACGACGAACATTTCACACTGTATGTGAAGTGAAGTTATCACTGAATACACAGTGCTGTACATTCGATTGCTCTTAGCACGTGTGTCGGGCTATATAAGTCAGCCCTTTTAACAGATCACATGACATGTTGACTCAAATAATAATAACGAGATAACGGGAGGTTGTTCAAGCGTTCAGTTCTTGTACCGAGCAAATCGGTTCGCGCACGATTTTTCGATGACGAAATATCATGTCGAATCGCCAAAAGAGAAATGGTTAGACCACAAATCTATCCTCTCTTCGTACAAATGAAGATAGAAGAACATGTCTGTTGAAGAGATCCCGGTTAGTATTCATGGATTGATTACTACACTGCATTTCTGGAAACGGTCGCGGTCTCGCCTGGACGTCTTAATTCAACCATTTTAGTTTGATAGTTAGAAAAGCTTCGGCTAGCTCTACGAGTGCCCTTTCCCTTTTTCCAACCTCTGCTTTTTCTCTGGTCATAACTGCCACTTCCCTCTTCTTAAGAGCTTTCATTCATTCCCGCTAGTGTATTGCAAGTTAATACGTAGGCTGACGGTTGCCTTTAGTTGGTGGATTACACTTTGACATAAGAGCTCGAGTGTTTTTGGAGACAAACTTCTCAATGACTTTGTCACTCTGAAATATCGTAGCGTTAACGTGAAGGCACTGATTTGGATAGGCTCAGTTTGGAGTCGCTTTAGGAAATCGTTGTTTCTTTAACTTAGCGTATCTCTGTCCTTTCCACGAAGAATATTATCTTGTTTAGTAAAGGCGCTAGTTTCCATCTATGCAGGACTTTAGTCTCAATTCCTGCCTAACTTTATAACAGTGTGTATAGGTAACCTTCGTCTTACTTTTTTATAGTGGTACACTTTATTGGTAAACTTCTCCATCGGCCTTTAAAAGTGTGGCATCCGGAATTGAGAGTCACCATGAATGGTCCTTTCTCATAGCAAACTCAGACAAACTCTCACCCTTCTCATCCTCTAACCCATGGCTCTTGTTTGACATACTTAAGAAATTCTTTTGTTCAAATGCTCGCTCCAAAATCTCCAGCAATGAGTCAGGAGAATGTTTGGTCTACTCATGTCCATATATAGCGCTTCGACTTCGTCTTTTTCAGAGCTTTATATTGGTGTATAAGCAACGGCGATGATTAAAGCTGGTATAAATCTACATCCCTTTAACTGTATTGGTCTGGTCAGAATTGCTAGTTATTTGAATGGATGCGATGTTTGTGACTAAACTGGCGTCGGCTAGAACTCCAATGCTGCAGAATTCTTTATAACATATTCTGGGTAACACTTCTTTTCCGGTGTCGTAGGCAGCATTTTTGATGGGCTTTTTTCCGTATCAAGCAAATTGACGACTTCAAATTTGCTCCTTCTAAATGAATGCTCTGGTGCTATAAAGATAAATCGAGTGAAAGTGAACGTGAGTCAAAGATAGATCGTCACCTTATTCCTTTGAGATCTGAGCGATCTAAAGTGATTTTGAGGTTTTACCAGTCTCTCTATACTCCTCCTACCCAACGCTGTTGTACCAGAGACTTTCGTAGTCAGAGGAGTGAGACGCGCCTATTAAACTGTTAATTGATATACACATGTAGCTTACTGAAGTCTGAACCTGAAGACTGGATATACTAATGGGTAGCTTGGCAGTCTTTTCCAGAGT